AAACTTGTGAAGTAGTTATTGTCATTTGCATTTATCAATGAGGAAACTGAGACTTACTGGTTAGGGGCAGGGATAGGACTTCAACCCAGGACTCTCTTACTTCAAAACTCACACAATAGACCGTTGTGCCATACGGGCCCCCGGTTGCACAGAGGACATTCTTAGCAGCCAGTAGATAATATTAACCTCTTGACACTCTGACCGGCAGCTCTGCACATTGGTCTGAATGACCTGAATTAGTCTCTAGGGTGGAAGGATGAAGTCAGAGTGGCCCCAAGCCTTCATCCAGTGGCATTTGTGGTTGTGTCCACTCAATTATTCTCTTGACAATGGTGGAAAACATAATTCCCCAAACAGCTCTGCTTGGTACAAGAAGTCATTGTACTTCGCCTTTGAAATCTACCATTTTGGAATCAAACTGTAGAAAATACTCTTAGGGATAACAGCTTAGGAACCTAAGAGCAGCATGCCAAGTGGCAGCATTTGAGAACATGGACCCCCCCATTTTGGGCCCCTAGAATGGTCCGACTACTTCCCTAAGACACACTTGGCTATGTTCCTGCTGTCATCATCAACAGCGTGGCAGGTTACATCCATAAATCTACATATCACGGTGAAGACACTCAGTAAATATTAAATAATAATTATTGTTTCTTTCACATTCACTGACAAGATAAAATCCTGGTACACAGGCTTTGAGGTCTAATTACTTTGTAGGCATTGAAACCAAACTGCTGGTTGAGACATTCATTGTGGAGCAGTTGGAGATGGAGTCGTAGGAAGTTGTTTTGAGCAGTAGCGTCACTCCGAAACTCCAGGTAAAGTGTGGAGCAATAAACACCAATGGAAACTGCCGAAAATGACGGAGCAAGAGGAGACTTGATGTGCAGGTGATATCGAATGGGGCTTCAGATCACTTACTGATTACTTTGGCAGACAAATAAGTGTTGAGTGAGTGACCCACTGAATTAATTCACTAATAAGCAGAAAGTGTTGTTAGAAATGTTTAGTACAATGTGCAGATGATATTCACAGCACAGATGAAGGCCCAAAATCTTAACAGTAATTACAACATCAGCTAACATTTACTGAGCACTGGCTATGAGTCAGGCCTTATTTCAAGTGCTTAACATATCTTATTTAATCTTTACAACAAATTATGACGCAGATACTATTATCCCCATTTTTTAAATGAGGAAATGGGCGCACAGAGAAGCTAAGTAACCTGCCCAACATCACAGTTAGTAGTGAAAAAGCCTAGGATTTGCGAAGCATGGGCAGATTCACTATGCCATTCTCTAATCTTTTAGAGGTCACAGAGACTCGATCTTGAAGAAATATCCAGAGATTATCCAATCCATAGTTTTCAAACTGCTCCATGAAACCATAGAAGTTGCTTTGGAAGTTCTACCAACAATTAAGTATTTGTGCCAAACGGGGATGAGTCCAGTTCCCCTGGGAAACTATCTGTTGCTTGGACCTGCTTTGTGTATTGGATTTCCACATCCGACTTTATTTTTAACAAAACAGGGAAAGACCATCCCATTAGTATAGGTCAGGTGTTGACAAATGTTTTCTTTAAAGGACCAGGTAATAAATACTGGCCTTGTTGGCCATATAGTCTGTTGCACGTAGTCTCTGCTATTGTAATGCAAAATGAGCATTATTTAAATGAATGATGGCTGTGTTCTAATAAAACTTCATTTACAAAAATAAGCTGTCGGCCAGAGTTGGCCTGTGGGCCCTGATTTGCTGACCTCTAGTCTAGATTATCTCCCTGTGGTCAAACGGAGTTTGCCTAAGCTTTCCAGATAGGTAGTTGTCTTGCTTGCTCACAGAAAGAAGGTATATCATCCGAGGTTTACCGATGCCTGTCGTCAGAAAGTCCATGTCACGTTTTCAGAGAAAAGGAAACTAATATGTATGAATGTGGACTTTGTGCCAGGTACTCTACTAAAAGTTCTACATCTGATTTAATCCCCATTGTAACAGTGTAGGAAACTCTGGTGGCATAGTGGTTAAGAGTTCAGCTGCTAACAAAAAAGTCCGCAGTTCAAATCCACCAGGCACTCCTTGGAAACCCTATGGGGCAGTTGTACCCTGTCCTATAGGATTGCTATGAGTGAGACTCGACTTGACAGCAGTGGGTTTAGTTTTTTTGGTTTTTGTAACAGTGTAGGGTGAAAGGCAGGCTCTCTTTTAACAGAGAAGGAAACTTAGGTTTAAAGAGGTGAATCAACATGTCCCAGGTCACATAAAGAGGAGCTACAGCTAAGCCAAAGTCTCAACATACACCATCACACCATACTGACATGGCTTAAAGCCACTTTGTTTGTCCTGTCATGTAATATAGTAGAAGGTCATTGACAAGTTACCCTCAGTCTTTCTTCTCTAGAAGAAAAAAATTCAAGTTGACTTTATAACCTCACTTTGCTCCCCCAGATGCTTCACTATCTCTATTAAGTTAGAGACTTAAAGACTAGTGCTACCATTTCAGTATGGGTTTTCCCAAGGCGTAACACAGGAGGAGAATAACCTTGCAATTTCAACAAGCTGTTCTCCCATTTATGCTTTCTAGTCCTTTATTGTCTTTCTTAGCAGATTGCACTGGGGGCTTGTATTTTGCTGGTGATCCTCCATGACCCACATGTCTTTTATAAAGATCATTTCTTATCTCTATGCTTTTTTTCCACCTCCTGTACTTGTCTCTCTCAAATTCATACTATGTTGGGAAACTGAAATTCTAAGTCTTCAGTAACCTCCTTTTCTTCAGGTTTATTTAATGGCACCACGAGGCTGCTTATCTCCCACCAGTAGATAAAGAAAGATGATTTCTTCATCCTGCACAGGATAGGTTGAAAATCTCAGTCTGGAATGTTGATGGCTAGGTTACTATTCCAAGAACGCATTTGTTGTCTTCTCTTATGTTCACCCAAATGCCTTGGACTTGAGGACACGTAAAGAAGGACCTCTTATATCTATTTTCAATTCATTCTTGGTTGGTTTCTTTCACGAACAAATCATTGCCATTCAGCTGAAAATTGGAAATTGGTGCCATCCCAGAAGTCAGTAACAGCACTGCCTCTAGTGGCTCTTGGCTCCAGAAAAATCCATGTCTGAGAACCACCGCAGTCTGCCTCCACAACGGAAGAGTGACCCAGCTGCCTGTGAAATGGAAGAGAAATCCATCGCATGTGGAAAACTCCGTCATCAATAAGCAGCTCGGCAGGCCTTTCCGTTGGTGACCAACCACAGAACTGACTTTCTATCAAGAAGCAAACAGTCTTTAACTGTGATCAACCACTTCCATCACCTCCAAGGCTGGCAGGTTTCCAATAAAGCCAATAGCCCCCTCCCCCAGGGTAAAGTCATCAGCAGGAGGCAGGCATTGTCTTTTAGCCTAGCAATTTGACAACAGTGTTAGCTTACACTCTATTAGCCAGCAGCTACACCCTGACCCCTGACCCTGACATTGACCTTAGACAGCCTTCTCCTGAGGTAGACTCTGATCATTTGAGGTGACCCACCCTGCTGGTTAGCATGAGAGAAGGTCCATCAGGACCAAACGTTCTGTGAACGACAGAGCAGGGCTCTCTGGCCACCCCTGGTCCCAACAGGAGGCTTAAGGTTTGAAGTACAGAAACAAGCCCGAGTTGAACCCAAGATGGCAAAGGTGAAAGTTCAGAAGCATTTCCATCAGCAGCCTGTCACCAGGGGACAATGTAAGAACTATGGAAGCTTTCACCACAGGGATAGCCGTTGTCTCCAGACAGTTCTGCTGCCTAATGGAAAAGACATATCAAAATATGGCTTACAAAATACAAAATAATGGACTGAGATGTACATTATATGAGGGTGTTAGATTGCAATGTACTTTACAGTGGGGGAATTAGATTGAAGTGTTATGCCAGGGTAGTTAGGTTGAAATATGGATCATACTAGGAATGGTAGCTTGAGATGTGCTTTATAACACAGTTGTTAAATTAACATGTGCTCTTCAGTACAGGCATTAGCCTGAGATGTGCATTATAGCAAAGTTGTTAGGGGGAGATGTGGATTGCTCTTCGGGAGGGGGGATAGGAGAGAGGAGAATACCTTGGGTTGAATATTATTCAAGATTATGGAACGTCTCCCACCTTGTATGGATTTCAGGGGGTTGAATGCAGGGAGGAGTAGAGATCATGGAGTATAACGTTCTTTCCCTTCTCCTTTCTCCCCAGCCAAACAATCTGCCACTTTCCCCACTTTTCCTGTTAGGGACTTATGGGCCTCCCCCATCAATAAAAACATTAGCTCACTAAACAGCCTGATGGCTTTCCTTCCCTGGCTTAACCCTTCGGGAGCTGGGGTTTCCTTTGGATTTGTAAAGATATTGATCCCAGATAATGTTTGCCTTTCTAACTCTCTCTTCCTCAGACTTGATGGATAGGTTCAGGGCTACATCTCGGCAGCCAACTCACCGCAGCTACCCAGGGAAAGAGGAATGGAAAGGAAGGCAAGTGTTCAGTAGTTAACACCATTTAAATCCTTTCCCTGGGATGGCTAGGCAGAAATACCGTGGCTGGGAAGGAATGCAGGAGCTACAGTCACTTTAAATCAGCACAAGATTTCACTTTCAGTTTTTCTCAGTCTTGTCCTGATCCCTCCACCAATATTTCTTTAGTTTATCTTAGAGAGTTTTAGAATTTCTAATTACCATCAGCTGCCATCTTGAGGTTGGCCACCCCGAGTTGCATTTTTAAAGACTCCCTTTTCAGCTAAAGGAGAATGTGCTTTTCTATGAAATCATCAACATAGTGAATACAGGTAGCTCTGTTGTTTGCTTGTGACACTGGCCTACATGGTAATGACCTTAATAAACCCTTCCGCCGGGTCCAAAACTTATCTGGGAAAAATAGTGGAGAGGATGGAAGGGTCGTCGTGCTTATTAACCACTTGTCCTACAAAGGTTTGCCGATCATCTCCCCGACAATGTTTTTGTCCTTTCTTTTCTTTTTTAGCTCAGAAAGCATAATTTACAGCCTCCAGAAGTCTAGCCCAGTGTGACTGGATGGCGTCCAGCTTTACCGGAATCAGAGAGGTGAGTTCTAGCCTTCTTGTTTCTCAGTGAAAGAAAATGTTATACCAGGTGAGTTAATGCAATCAAAAAGACTAACCAGCCAGACAAGAAAGCCAAACAAAGCCAAACAGGTCAAAGGAAATTGCAGTGTTACTAGACACCTCTGTATTATGCCTTAAGGTTTCAGGGAAGAGGCAACGGGCTTTTCTGTGTGCGTTTTTCAGGCCATATTACTCTACTTAGAAAAGTGGGTTTGCTGCAGGACAACAGCATTTATCTTCCCTGGGCATTTCCAAGTTTGCCTTATTCTCTAGCCTGGTATGTTCTCTTCTCAGTGTCCGTTCCCGCCTCATTTTCTGGCATCACAGTTTCCTTAAAAATAGGCTATGAGGGCTATTTCTAACCTCCATCAAGGGATCTGTCCAGCCAGACTCCCATGGGATGTAGGAATGAGCTTAAAACCAATCTTGGAGAAGAAAGGAAAGGGTTGGCTTATTCCCAGACCCAGTTTTTAAACAAATCTTCTGTTGGGTCAAGTAAGATGCTTGGGGCTCCTCGCTAGAAGAGGAATTACAAAACTTCTCTTTAGACACTGCCTGAAATCCCACCCTAAAAAAGAAACCAAACAGTATTTGATAGAATCCTGGTAGCCTGGTAGTTAGCAGCAGTTTTGGAGTCAGTCCCACTTCCACCACTTAATTTATTTGTGAGTTTGGGCAAGTCACTGGACCTTTCTGAACCTCGATTTCTCTATCCACAAAATGGGTCTGATAGTATCTACCTCACAGGGATATTACGAGGATCAAACAGGCTAATGCATTTAAAAAAAAAAAAAAAAAAAAAGCTTAGTATTGTACCTGCCACAGGGTAATCACTCAACAAATGGTAGCTATCAGCTTTATCATTTTACTACCATACCAGCAACTAGCGGAGCAATGTTCCAATTTACCATGGGCTTTGTGGTACTGACTTAGCACACACCACACCCACCCTCATGGATTCATTAACACATCTGGTTTTAGAAAGACACTGTGTCTCTTAGCTCACTCCTTTACAAGGCTACTGTTTATGAGGATTTTCCCTGTACAGGAAGAGGGGCCGCCCTGCCAATGAGGGGAGAAATAGATTACAAGGGCCTCACTGATGGAATATAATCTCCCCTCTGTACTCACTGGTAACTAGCCATGATTGTATTTCAAAGGTAACAGTTCATCTCCACCGCAAGTATTGGCGTGCAGTCCATAAATAGGGCCTAATGTGATCCGACAGGCCTGATTTCTCTAGATATATATTAAAACAACATGCCTAGCACTGATGGCTCGAAGGTCCTGACCTTTAACAAGGACTTATGACGTAAGTCAACCTGCCCAGGAGAGCTAGCAGGGCAGAAGGCCAGAGGGACAAGGTCATCCGCTAATGAAGTGGTCAGCATTGAGTTTCTGTCACTCAGCTGGTTAAGAGGAAACTGAGAGGGAAGTAAAAGAAAATGGGAACATTTAAGAAACAAAGGGAAGGACCACATTTGAGCTAATGTTCCAAAGGTGAACTGGTGTTGTCAGAGGGCCAGGTGGCAGAAAGCAGTTCATCAGTGCCTTCATCGTGGCCTCGTTCAATTTTACCTTCTGAATATGAGCTGGCTGAAAGAGTGTTTGGAAGAAGTTAACTCTATATAAATCTCAAATTATGATGAAAATGAGCATGTAGTAAACAAGCCTGTTCTTTGGTTCAGATGTGCTCCAGACACATAATGTGGAAAGTGGTCGAGAGTATTGGCTCTCTGTGACCTGGGAAAACTACTTGCTGAGCTTTAGAAACACACTGGAAAACTGGGATGATAAAGGTACCTACCTCAAAGGGTGGCTGGTAGAATTAAATGAGAAAATTCATGTAAAGGGCTTAGTAGCACAGTGCCTCGCAAAAAGTGACCACTCAGATGTTAGCAATTATTATGCTATTCTGTGTGCTCTAATAATTTTAGAAAGTGTGTTGTTTTTGTTAATGGATAGTAAGTTGTATGTTGTAGCCAGACACAGTTCTACAAATTTTCCTAGTACTTAGAAATTCATAATTTCTAATGCTTCACACTCATGAAACACTTTGAACATTTTAGCCATTTACCTAGTCAACAAGCATTTATTGAAAATATCGTGTGCTGAGTGATGTGCTAGGTCCTGGCAATGTCATTGTACTGAATCAGAATTGTTCTTGACTTTATTCTTTATTTAGTCTCACTGGGGAGGCAGAAACATCAAAATTTAGAGCATAAGTGGTAGTATATTACAGGAATGTGGTATGGGGTGAGAGCAACCAACCCTTCTTGAGAAGGTCAGGGAGAAGGCAAAAAGATAAGGGTTTTCATATCTGTTATACCACTTGATCCTCCAAATGATCCTTCAGGCGGGTAAGGCAGGTGTTGCTTTCCTTGTTCATTTTCTGTATAAAAATGTTGAGACCCAGTTAGGTTATTACTTGCCTTTGTTTTCAACAGTAACTTGTAGAACTGAGACTGTTATCCCAATCTGCAGACTTCTCAGCAGCATCAGGATGAATCGTGACCACTGATGGCTATCTTTAAGTCCAAAAACGATTCTCTTTATTGGCCCTTTCATCATAGCCAGATTATGAGTCAACTCTTGAGCGTCCCAAGGCACAAAGTGTCAGAGTGTTTCAATTCCATTTCCTGAGCCATTAAAAAGATTATTTCAATCCTTTTCTATCTTATTTCTAAAAGTGAAGCAATATGGTTTAGTGGAAGAAGCACTGGCGGGAGAGGTTGGGGACCAGCACACTGGTCTCACACCACCATGGTTTCACTTGAATCCCATGGCCCCCTGATGTCTCAGCTCCCCAGATAAAGAAACTTTTCTTCATATTCCCTGCCTGCTTCTGCTTTACAAAGATGATATGAGGATGACTAAAAGCATTGATCTTAGGTGGGGAGCATAAAGGTCCAGTGGAAATGATTATCAAATTAGACTACAATTGTTTGGGAATAAAGAGTTGAAGCATCATGAAGGCAACCAATTCTTACTACTGTCACGACCCAGACAACATTTTTCCCCAAGATTCGGATCCTTAGGTCTTTTTTGAGTTCGGAGACTCTGGCAGATCAGCACAACTATTCATGTACTATTAACCAAGGTTGCTGTCTTTGTTTTTTCTTTCAAAAATGAACCTAACTTTAGGCTTTTTTCTTGTTAAAAACATAATATATAATATCTTGAAAAATGTAAGCAATTTTTAGAAGCACAAAGAAAATTAAAATCACCCCAAATTCCACCACCCACCCACCTATGCAAACACTTTAACCTCAACTATATCTTATCAGATGTCATATATATATATTTGTATAAATGTATTTATTTATGTGTGTTATTTTACGTAAGCAGTATCATATTATTCATGCTATCCACAACATACCATGTCAGTGAATTTGTAGATTTACGTAGTCCTTTTTAATGGCTTCATTGCATTCCAGTGTCTGGATATACCATCATTTATTTAACTAATCCCCTACCAGTGAGTAGTAATGTTATTATAAACAGTGCTCTGATAAGCATCTTTGTGCTTTGTGAATCTTACCAGTTGTCTCCTTAAGATAAATTCTTCCAAGTGGAATTGCTGGCGAAGTTGTCCCCTTCAACCAAACTTTAAGAGATTCACATGGAGTAGTAACGGAATAAAAGGACAATGACTAGCCAAACTGAACCATCCCACCAACCCTGGTGACCTGTGACGATCGCAGGAGCCCTTACTCCTTAATCTATGGGGAGCTAACAGTGAGAGAAGGTGAATTTTCACATCCCTGAGATTAAGCATCATGACATGCGTTACTAGAACTAGATGCTTGTTTTCTTTTACTCTCCACCTGTCATTCCTCTTGTCCTGGCCTGTGGAGCCATTGCACGCTGTGCAGCTCACTCTGCAGCCAATGGAGCCATACTTCATCCCTGAATCTTTAACCAGCAGCCAGTGGATTCCATCTTCTGTTGGGTTTTCTTCCTGGTTGATTTCCTCCGAATGGGAGGCCCAAAAGTTGATTAACTTCTTTGAGTAAAAGTAGGCACTGGAGCCAGCCAAGCAGTGAGTCGAGTTGGGTGATTACACTGCAGTGTTTTAATTTGCCTTTGGACAAACTCTTAGAAGCTTTCATGAGAAAATCTCCCATTAGATTTAGTCATTTAATTTAAGAACAGTTGGGAGAGGAAGATGAACTAAGATGACAGATGGAGGAATGCAGATGTACTTCTTAGGGGAACTCAAAAGCACTCTGAGGATTTGGCATCCAGGGAAGCAGTCGTCAGCCTCAATTGCTTGTGTCTGTGGACTTGAGAAATTTTCGTTCTCTGGGGGCGTTGAAGGAATCACTGAAACACAGGGATCCTCTCAGATGACAAGCAGGTTTCATTGTTTTCTACTGTCTGTAAAACGGTAACAAGGTCAACTAAAGAATCAAATATCCACCACCACCCCCGACACACACACCCCAAGTGTAGCAAATACTAAAAGCAAAAATTTGAGTAGCCTTGTAGGAAGGCAAAACAAACCAAAAAATAATAGCAAGGTTGCCATTAGAGAGAAGTTCCCTTTGGTTACATTGTCACAAAGATAGCTTTTTTTTTTTTTTTTTTTTTTAAATTCCGTGCTCACTCTGGTTTCCTTCAAACAGATTTTCTGGACATCCTAATTTGGCATTTTTATAATTCAACATCTATTATTTTTTTAGGACCATAGTTATTATTTTAATTATAATTTAAAGCTTCCTAATATACTCAGCGGTCACAGTGCACCCAAAAGAAATAAATAAAAACAACTTGCCATTTTAAAAAGCAGTGTGTTTATTTGGAAATCCTACAAGTCACCCAACCAAGACATCATAAAACCTTCAAATAAACTAAAACGGAAACAAAATAAGATGTCCATTCTTAATTTCCTTAGAAGGCAAGCAGGAGAACACTGCAGCCAGCTGAATGCTGGCCTGAGAAGTCTCAGAATGATTTCATTACTGAGTTCGGGAACTC